ATAACATTTTTTGGTTGATACTCTATTCTGTCAAGATTTTTTTACCAAAATTTGATATCACAGATTTTCTTACTATCCTCTCGTGTTTCAAATGTAATCAACAGTTAGACTCGACCGGCAAAAGAAAATAAAAGCTTTTTAAAATAAAATTATGAATAACAAATCTTTTCTTTAATTGAAATAAAGGGGAATAAAAATGTTTATTTTATTAAAATTCTCAATCGTAGATGTATCAATATTTGAGCGATTGAAATGTCTAGAAACTACTTTAGGTTTAAAAATTTCAAACCCAAACATACTAGCAATCTCCTTTACTTACTCATATATTTCATGTAATTTTTCATCCATATTCTCTGAATTTGTTAATATTTCAACGCTTATTCATAACCTCTAAATCCAAATCAATTTTTTGTAGCATTTTGCTAAAATCACATGTATAATTAAATAAAAAATAAACACATTGAATTGATATTAAAAATTGTGGCTTAATAATAGCATGCAAAAGATTCACAGCATATGCCGAATCTCTTTCCTTGCTTGATGTATAAAATTCCAGTGCTGCATGCTGCAAATACAACATAATATAGTCAATAAATAGTTTCACCGACTCATGAACAGGGTTGCCATGTCTCCCCCTATCAGCGGGAGACTCCCGCAATTTATTAGCTTACACGCAGACATCTCACTCCCGCAAAACTACAGCTATTGGAAATCTCCCTCCCGCAAAAATCTACCGCAATTTTTTAATTTCTCCCGCACAATTTTGTTTAGCATTTTAACGTTTTTAATATATAAATAATTGAGACAGTAATTGATAATTTTTAAGTAAATTTAAAATAAAACATGTCTAGTTTGTAAATTTCTTTCTATCCTGTTTTATTTTCATCAATAATAAATCAACATCATTCATTTCATTCATATTTTATCATTTTCAGTGTGTTTGTGTATAATATTATAGGGCTTGGCTCAAAATTATCACGTCAGGTTAAATTAAATAAATAGAATCTTGTTGAACAAAATCTTTTTAGTTTCTATTTTTGATTTTTAGTCAATGTCATGATACGTTTGAATAAACAATTCCCTCTTCTTGGGTGGTGTGAAATAGTTCTAAATCAAAGATATTGTTTCTAAATTTCGTAAAATATATTAGCATTATTAAAGTTAATATATATTAAACATACATAAAAATATTAAAAACTAATAAATTCTAATTAAATTAAAATCGGTTCACATAAACTGTTCCTGATGTCCCTTATTTCACACGCCTCAGATATAATTCAATTTAGACAATGTGAACTACATTGAACATAGAAGGCTGTGCTGTAAAGCTCTATTATCTTTGACTGCACACCTGTAACATGACCACTCAACGAGGGAGTCCATCATATCCTTGGCCTCTAATCAAGTTAAAATTTAACCCTAAGCCTTGAAGTGATGATATAATTTCTTCCCTATCGTCTCCGATTTAGTATAATGCAATGAAATAAATTTAAAAAACAGTTCCTTCATTTTAAAATCTGCTGATTCCAGATCAATAAAACCAATGGCTATAGATAGTTGCTCTATATAGGCCACGTCAGAAGTCTCATCAGCAAAAACACTGTCAACTCACACACCCCCCCCCATTCCTAAGCCACTAGTGTCATATTATCATATTTATTATATATAAATGTATTCTTTACCTAATCAAAAAAAATATTAAAGTAAAATAGATGAAGCAGCACTAAAAGAAAAATTAATCTTAGATGTTTTTGTGTTTTTATTATTTTCTTAAAATAAAGTTACTTTAGAAACTGAAGCATTATTCAAAATTATCCAAAAAAAGTATATAGAGTGGAAGAATTTTTAAATATATTTATACTTGTTAAAAATAAGAATGTGAGCTACCTAAGATTCTAGAGTCCACTCAAGTGGTTCAGCGAGAGGATTTTCCAACATGAGGCAAAATGAATATAATTATAAGGTAAAATAACTTAACTTTGTTGATATGATAGAAATGTCAATAGTCAACTCAAAAGGCTCTATATGAAAAATAATCAATAAAACCATCTTTTAAAATGCTAAAAAAATCAAAGAATATTTAATATTAATAAAACCACCTTTAAAATGTTTAAAATTCAAAAAAAAATTTTTTTTAATATTTACATCAAATTCTATGAAAAAATAAAGAAATAAAATCATAAAAAATATAAAATATAAAATAAAAAATTAAAAAATTAAAAAAATCTTTGAGCAATCTTCTCAAAATTTCTTTAAACAATTGAAAGATTGTGGTAAGATCTAAAACAACATTTCATGAAAACGGGGAACATTGAGTTAATGAAGGATTATTTATCAAAATATCATTAGTTTGGAAGAAAAAAAATGGTTTATATATTAATTTCTATATTAAAAAATAAATTATTATGTAAAAAAAAATTTAAAAGCAAAAAAAATATATATATATGAGGCAGCTAGGCATGGTACACAAATTCTAGATTATTATTTTTTTATATTCTTTCTAAATAGTAAATAAATATATAAACTTTGGCTCAAAATTAGACTCAAGAAGTTCCAGTGCCGGCTTAATCCAACTCCTGAGTGGGCTTGAGCCTGACCCAATTTTTACTACTCCGACTCAAGGTTTGAACGGTAAAAACTTCATTTTTTAACAACACGATTTTAGTTTTTTGCAATTTCAAAAATTTTAGTATTTTATTGTGTCATAATTAACATTTATTTCAAATAGGGTATTAATTTTTTAAATATTTTTTATTTTAAAATGCATAGAAATATATACATTATTAATAAGCAGAGTTGTTAACGCTACTTTTTAAAAGTAGCTAGCTCCCGCTTCTACCTTCTCAAGAGGAGCTAGCTCCCGCTCCCGCTACTACATTTTTGAAAGGAGCTAGCTCTCGCTCCAAGTAAAGAAATACCACTCTATAACCGCTTATTTTCATTTTTTTAGAAGGTATACGAAACAAAATCATATTTTTTTATCAAAAAGTTTTACTTATAATTAAATGATCTATCAAAATATTTATAACCTTTTATTATTGGCAATATTATGTGCTTTATTAGTGTCTAATCACTATAGTAACAAGCATGAATAAAAAAAATATTAGTAACAATTTTGGCTAAATTTATGATTAATAAGCGACTGAACACTGAAAACATTATTCTAAAAATTTAATCTATGTTTAGTCAATTGTAAATTAATCCATATAGCTTAGAAAGAAAAAAATTTGCCCCCCGAACCTTACATTTTTTAAGATCACTCAATATACCTGATTGAGTGTTAAAAATAATTCTTTTTTAAATTTTAGATATAGATTTTATTTATTATTAAAATACTTTAGTATAAATAAAATCTCTTTATTTAACTATGCATTTATTTTAATGATAATATACAATAAAATTTCAAAATGTAGAAATTTTTATGTAGATTATTATATTAAAAATTTATTGTAAATAACTATATTTAAAAAATATATAATTTAATAAAATATAAGTAATTCTTGTACGGTATTTTAAAAAATATAATTTAACAATTATAATTAATACAAAATAATCTATAAATATTTCTTATTGCAAAAGCAATACTTTTATTAAAAATATATAAATATTATGACTAAGAATTCATTATAATTAAGTTTTGCATATAAAAATTTTATGACTAAGAAAATATGATAATCATAGATTTGAATTTATAAAGAGAGGTCTACTTTTCTCTGAGATTTGGCTAATTCATCAAGAATCAAATTTTTATCTAGAATAATCTCCTTATAAATATTTAAAAGGGCTAATCCATTTAAACGGTTTTCACCGGTGCTTTTTCTTAAATAGGTTTTTAACCTTTTCAAAGTTGAAAAAGACCTTTCATTGGTGCAGGTACTAATCGGTAAAGTAGCTAAAATAAAAGTAATGTATTGATATTTGGCAGGGAATCTAAAGTGCAATTACACATGGAAAGAGCCTGCAAAGCATTTTTAGGTCTCAAAGAGTACTCTATTCTGTCGAGATTTTTATACCAAAATTCGACATCACAAAGTAACTTATCACACGATCCTGATAAATCATCAGAATAAAACTCTGAGATTTTCTTAATATCCTCTCGCGTTTCATGTGTAATCAACAATGTCAAATACGTCTGCAAAAGTGACATTTTACCTAATATTTTATAAATAATTATATATAATAGAGGATTATAAACTATATGTATACTTACTTTTTATAAATAAATCTCTTATATTTTTTTTAGATTTGGACCTTGAGAATAATTTTAGAAAGAGACATGATAATTAAATTTAAAAATCAATAATATACTTGATTAGTGATGTTAAACTCGACTAATTACAATTATATTTGTTAATCAATTAATAAATGATTATATTAATTTAAATAATAAACGTCAATTAAGATTCAACTGTTAATGCTAAATTAATATTTAGTGAGTGATATTGATATATTTTTAACACAGAATTTGATCGCAAGCTGACATAGTGAAAATATAATTTATATGTATTAATATAATCTAATAATTAATAAAATAGTATTCATTTAATAAAAATTCAGATAGTCTTATTAAAATTTAAATAATAAAATTAAATCTATATATTGCTCAATAGAATTATAAAATAAATTTTTAGGGAGCAATTAAAAAAATTTATTTTTAGTTCAAGGGGATATTAAAGAGTCATTAAAAAAAACGTTTTGCTTCAGGGGGCTATTCAAATTTTTCAGGGGGCTTGACCCCCTGTGCGCCCCCTCCTAGCGACGCCATTGGCCACTGATATTGGTTATCTAACCATGATCAATACGAAAGATGTAAATAATAATTTAAAAATAGAAGGCTTTTTCTTATACATATATTTTAGAACGCCTAATATTATTAATAATTTTATACAATAGATATTTAATTTAATAATTTTTCCCTTTCTTTAGCCATAATTCAAAAAAATTAGAAATATATTATTATTTTAATCCCAGCTGATTAACAGAACATTATATGCCTAATTGTCATAAAAATGTCACTTTTAAATATACCAGATGTTATTATTGATGAAGGAATTTTTAAGTATATATTGATAAAGATATCTTCAAATGACGAGAATAAACTAATCGTTAGGGGATACAAGCGATCCCCTTATCATTGTAAATATTAGTGTCTTATAATATAAATCATATTTTTATAAGCGGATATATTTGATGAAGTCAGTGAATCATTTAATAAAAAATTAAAATTGGAATGTTTGGGAGGTGGTCGTATTAACCATAATCCGGAAAACAAAGAGATAATGGTATATGGTTATTCTCAAGTTATAAATATACATTCCAATTGGTTTTATTTTTTTTATTAACAGGGATTTGGAAAAGCAAATCATGATATAACAGTTGGTATTCTCAAAAATCATTTTAAAGATTATTCAAAAATTAGTTGGTCTGACGAAGGATATTGAAAAGATTTTAAATACTTTAATATCTACCAATTACTGCCTCAATTATATATCAATAAATGTTGCTTATCTAGATCCAATATCATTTTGATAATGATACCAGAGATAATTATTGTCCTGCTTTTATCAACTATTACTGTTGTTAATAATTATTAAAAAAGATGTTATACTAGGGTATATTATTAAAAGGAAGAAGTGTGGGGTCTATAAAACTTAATTGTGTTGAAGATATTATTTTTAATTTTTTGGTGAAGGGATTGGCACCCCTCATAATATACCCTGTTTGTTATATAAATACGATTTATTTGCCTATTATTTTAAAACCATGCAATTTCTAGATACCCCTCTTATTAACTTTGAAATAAAAAATTAGTCCTTTCAAATTATTTATAATTTTATCTTAATGTTGATAACAATATAGTGTTGCTGGCATACCTGCCCTCAGGACCCATAAACCAATAATTTAATTCTTTTTTTTATAAAATTGATAGCTTTCAACACATCCAGATAAAGGTCCACCCAGTTACCAAAAAATAGATTTAGACCTAATATTAGAAGCAATATGAATACCTGAACAAAAGTGCAGGAGCCCAGTTGATTATCTTATTAATACCATACTCTTAATTTATAACCTTATTCCCAAATACTAGAAGGGAACTTCACCCTTTGCAAGGAATAATAAAATTGAAATAGTCAGGAATCTTTGAGGGAGGATGATTTTCAATGTGAAGAATGGATAACTGCTTTGCACAATAATGAAAAAAAAACTGGAAAAAAATCATATTAAGAGAAATAATTAAACATGAAACAAAAAAATACCATTTTTTAATTAAAATCTCAAAAACATTTTAAAGATATGTTATACAGATTTGATGGAAAATATTTCCATATTTTTTTATTTATTTGCAAAAAATTATTTGACTTGCAAAAAATTGCTACAATAACATATTTATATACTCTTATTAATTTTTACAAGTTAAATAATTTTATTTACTTTTACAAACAAACTAAAAAATATGGAAATTTGCACAAAACTATATTTGTTGATAAATTTATAAAAGTAAAATTAATGCCCACTTATTTTTTAAACAGTTATCTCATCAGATATAATATTTAATTACAATTTGTCACCTTATAGATGTTTTCTCCATTTTATTAAGATAGTATTTTTCACTTATTTTTTAAACAGTTATCTCATCAGATATAATATTTAATTACAATTTGTCACCTTATAGATGTTTTCTCCATTTTATTAAGATAGTATTTTTTGTTGCAATTATATTTTCTTTTTAATAATGCAGATTTTTTTTTTAAAAAAGAGCATTTAATTTTATTAATAATTTTTTTAAATAAATTTAATATAATTATCAGAGACCTGAGAGGTGCCATTTGTACGGCCCAGTTCAGATAAAAAAATTTTGGCCTGGCCTGGCCCAACCTGAATTTTTTTTTCAAAAATTTTTTACGGCCCGGCCTGGGTTTAAAAATTTTAGGCCCGGCCCGAATATTTTTAAAAAAATTTGGGGGGGGGGGCCGGCCTGGCCTGGATTAAAAAAAAAATTTTTAGGCCCGGCTCAGAATTTTTTAAATCGACCTGGTATATACAAAAAATTCATTATTTCGTATTTATATTTTTCGGCGAGTATTATCATTTAATAAGCAAGTATATTAGCTAATGTTGTTAAACGGCTCGTTTTGAGCCGATTTTTAAAAACGGCTAACTCAATATTTTCGCCAGAAAAATATTGACTAAGCCTCGAAATTTCGATACTATATGTCTGGACCTTTGCTCCTTCTATGAGCAAAATTTTCAGGCTTACACAATATTTTTCTGCATAAAACACTGAGTTAGCCGTTTTAAAAATCGGCTCAAAACGACCCGTTTAACAATATTTTTTTTACATTTTAAACAAATAAATTTGAAGCCAGTTTTGGTTTTTATATTTATTTTTAAAAAAATTTCAAATCTAGGGAATGGGAAATTTGTATTATAGCTATTAAGAACATTTTCTTTCCTGGTATCTTCGATTTCATTAATATCATTGTCTGAATCACTTTCAACGATTTGGATATCAATAGGCGATGACATTTTAAATTATTAACACTTGATTTTTATAAAACAAATGAAAATATAAATTACAAATTGAAAATATATTTCAATTTAAAAATTAAATAATAAATCATAAAAATAATAATTATGATATTATATTTAAATTTTCATGTTTAAACTTACCTTCATTATATTTTTTAAAAGTAGCGAGCTAAAAAATTAAATAATTACAAAAGAAAGTAGCCGCTACAAGCTATAGCTACCAAAAAAGATAGCTCGTTACTTTAACAACTCTGCCCATACTCAACGTATTGAGCATTTATAGAGAAATCTTAAGGCGACTATCCCCAGAACTGGAAGAAAATTTTCCTCCATTTATATAAATCTTTTTTCGTTACATTAAAAATATGTCAATTTAAGTTAATTAATTTTTAAATGATATAAATTTATATAGAACTATTTTTGTTTTTCCTTAGAATTATATATATCTATATTATCATTGTATATATATTATGTTTATTCAAATAAATTGCTTAATTATCTAGTATTTGATTTAATAGTCCTAACTTAGCAGCATCCAATAGAGCACGTGTCTTTTAAAAAATTTTAAATAATATACTCTACTTTTAATGCAAAATTATAGAATTGCGAAAATTTTCACAAAAAAAAATTATAATCCTACCTTATAGTAACATCTAATATAGCACACGCCTTTTCATTTTTAAAGTAAAATTAAAGAATTATGAAAATTTTCTCAAAAAAAATTAGTCCTAACTTAATATTTAATATAGCACACGCCTTTTCATTTTTAAAGTAAAATTAAAGAATTGTGAAAATTTTCTTAAGAAAAAATATGCAATTCTTAAAACTTTTGAGTAATGAAACTTTGAATTATTATTACATCAAAAAATTTCCACCCATATCCACACGATTGCATATTAATTATTTTTATATAAAAAAAATATTATTAAAATTTCCCCGAGTTTCAGTGACTTACCAAAGTTTTTAATGGATGTTTATTATAATTAGATTATGTGCCAATATATTATTCAGTGGTGGTACGTGCCAGTGGCACATTGATGCACCGATAAAAACAAATATGATAAACATCGTAAATCTGCTTGTATATTATTCCCAACAAAATTAAACATAAAAATCAAAATATAAATAATACATCCTTATTACACACCAAACAAATGAATATAAATTTTCAATGTAAAGATATAAATCATCAACTTAAGCAATGCATGATAAGATGATGAAAAATTGCAATAATGAATACATAAATATATTTTACACAATTATAAATTTAAAATACAAATTGAATTTATAAATTTATATTTGATATATCATTATAGTCACTGTATAAACTGTAGTTACCTTGTAGAAATAAAATTTTATCTAAGTTATCTGGAGATAATAAAGATCCTTTTGAATTCAATATCAAAACGGAAACAGAGAATATACGTTCACTCGTGGTTCTGGTAGCTGGAACTGAAAGTATATTCTAGCAAATATTGTTAAATTGGGTGATTCCAACTCTTTGCGTTTCCAAAATGCCAGCACGTCAGTTTCAACGTATGCTTGATTTCCTAATAGGTCGTATAGCTAACATTGTAAAAAATATAAATGATATTTGTAATGTATTTAAATAAATTGATTTTTATATTTGGTTAAAGCTACAATTTATAAAAATAGAAAACATATATATATTATTATTATATGAAATAAATCACTTTATATTATTGTTCTGAATACATTTCATTTGGCGACGATTTATTTTCAAGTCATTTTTGACGACAACGAATTATTTTAAATAAAAAGATTAAAATTATAACATGCCTCTGAAGAAGATTGAAGAACATACTCAATTTCATATTCCTGAATTCATAAAAGAAAAAGTTAATATTCAGCATTTTCAAGGTAAAAGATATTTTCGACCAAAATAAAAAAAAAAGATTTATTATTGGCCTATATAGGCACTGAAAATTTAATTAAAATTTTTTATTTTCCTAATAATTTAGATAATATAAATTATTTAACTTTACTTGAGAATTTAGAAAAAATATTTAAAGATGTCTCGAGTATTTTTCTTCATAGAAACAATTTTTTTACCTTAAAAAGAAATAACGAAACTATAATTGATTTTACAATTAAATTAAAAAGCATTTGCGCTTTATGTAATTTTAAATCGCCAGCTGATGAACTCTTAAGAGATATTTTCATCTTAGGAGTAGGGTTACCTGAGCTGGACAAAGAACTTCGGTTTTGAAGATACTGTTCTAGCTATCGCGCTGTCTTTATTGGAGAAGGAAACCCTGACAGAAGTTAATAAAATAATTAAACATAAGCCTGTGCAAGGTTTCAAAAATACTTATTTTAGGAATAATTATAACAACGTAAACAAATTCAATAATAATAATTATAATGCTAATAAATTCAACCATAATTTTTATAAACCAAGTTTTAAACCTAATTTCAGTCAAAAAAAGTAATATGCTTTAGGTGCGGAAAAGCAAACCACATAGCGAAAGAGTGTAGAATGCATGCTATACAAATGATTTTACCACCGACACCTCGCCTGTCTTTTGCTAAAAAGCTACAATCGATGCGAAGATAAATGGGCTGCAGCTTATTATGGAATTTGATACTGGCGCGGCGTGTAGTGTGTATGATGAGGTTACCTGAAGTCGCATAGGCAAACGACCATTATCACCTGCTTATAAACTAGTAGGATATAACCATATCAAAATCGAAATATTGAGTAAATGTTTAGTGGAAGTCGAAGTAAAAAATATTTCAAAATTTTTACCTATTTGGGTAGTTAAGGGTGAGAATTCCCTTATTTTTGGAATGCCCTTTCTTAAAGAATTTGATATAAAACTTCTTGAAGAAGTTCGTATTAATAATATAAATATGAAAGATTCTAGTTTAATTACTATTGTTTCAAAATTTCCGCAAGTCTTTAAAAAAAATTAGGACAAATAAAATTACAGGAAGCCGTCATCAAGATACAACCAAATACAGTGCCAATTGCGTTGCCATCTAGAAGAATTTTATTTCCATTGCGTCGAACCGTTGAAGCTGAGTTGGACAGATTTTTAGATGAAGGGGTTATAGCGAAGATGGATCCAACAAAGACTCCAATTACTTGGGCTACGCCAACGGTTAATATTTTAAAGAAATCCGGTGCCGTGCGGATATGCAGAGATTTTCGTTTAACAATCAATAAATATTTAGCGATAGATAACGATTTACTACCAACTTTTGTCGACCTGACAAAAAGGATCGCGGGTGGTAAAATATTTTGAACGATAGATTTAAGAGATGCAT